ATATATATTTTTTTCATTTCAGAACTACATGTAACCATTTTACCGAGATCCAGCAAAAATGAGTTTAACAATTTATAATAGCTAGTTTCATATTACTTACATGAATATGATCTTAAAAAGATAAAAAAAAAAACAAGAATGTGATTTTGATATTTTGATTTCATGACTGAACAGAAAGAGAGAAAATTGACGGCTGAGGATCTGAAGATTTTATCTCTCTTCGTTCAGTACATGACACTTCCTTGATGATACCTTCTCCGCATCAGCCCAAAATATGCTTCAAATTCTCGAAAACTAGAGAAGAGATTCCATAAACTACCATAGAAAGCCGATCTCATGTATGTTAGTATCACTGGCATTTAGTTTTATTTATAGGACATTTCATCCAGAAAGGAGGAAACCGCACTACCTTCCGATGCCCACTTGTACGTGGTACCGATTGCGCTTAAAATTGATGTATGTCGTGTATTTTGAAGCAAAACAAAAGTAGGCCGGTGATGAAAAACAAAAGATCCGATGTGGTGACCAGCTTTTTAACAAACAAGATTTACTTTCACACCATCAAAAGGACTTTTTATACCGTTATAAGTAAGACAGAGAGATTATACTTTCAACTAACGATCAGGTTGACTTGTTTTTAAAGCTTACAAATCCGAAGCGATTTTCAATTACAAGCGTAGTGGATTCAATTATTTTGTTTTAACTGAAACAATAACATCAACATTTACATGTCTGCCAAGCGACATGTTTTAACACGAATTCGAAATTCGAAATTAACACTTTGGAAGACACGATATTGAACTTCGGAAAAAATCCTTCGATTGAATTTTCCCAAAGAAAATATCTGAAAATATGTAAGACATAAGCGTTTAGTTACCTTGTTCCTGTTTTTGATCCTCGGAGTCCGTGTCGTTTAACGGCGTGTAAGCCGCCGAAGACATCTCACTTTCTTTCGGCCCTCAGCTGAGCAGGTAGAAGGCTGTTTTTACATCTCGAAGAGAAACCAACAGCGTCAAACCAAAACAATCGCTTGTCATTTGATCGATGGCGGCGGCATTTTTGTGCCGCGAAGAATTTCAAGAAATATGTGTACGCGATTTGCCGTTAAACCCCCAATAAATAAACGTTCAACTGAAGAGTGTTGAGAGAAACGTCCAGATGAATTATGTATTAGTTGAATTCACCCTCTCCTACCTAATGAAGCGAAGGAAGTGGTGAATTAGAATTTACGATCGTACGATCCTCCTCTTTGCAAAGTGCGCCTTGTTCCTTTTTACCAGCGTGGTATCGCTACAGGGCATGCGTATTATAATACATATCATACTTAGTCTCCCACAGCCAAATTCAACATGGCTGCCAATGCAACCAGCTCGGCAGCGACAACAACTTCCAAGTCAAATCCTTCGAAAAAGGAAAAAGACACTTTAATCGCCGTCCTTCAATTTTTAAAGAAAAGCAAGTTATCTGTAAGTTGTAGAAGTACTTCATCGAAACGGCAAACCTTTTTCCTAAAAAATGCAGATCTTTGGGAATTAGAGAGCTTCTGCCCTGTAGGTTGTGTAAGGTTGCTTTGTTGCTCTTACAACTTAAGCTTAAGCTTAATTTTTATGATTTGTAATTTTTTTAAGGAAACAGAGAAGATCTTTAGGCAAGAGGTAAATTGTTTAGAAGCAATAGAAGAAATAAACCTTCAAACAACTCCTGACTCAGAACCAGATATCTCATCAGTATTGTCTGCTTATAACAGGTAAGACAGTTTAATTTATCAATAAGAATGTACTGCGGAGATTGTGCACAGTGTATATCACGTCTTTTCTGCCGTCTTTGACATGTGTCTGTTTAAATCCAAACTAGTGATGCAGATCCTACAAGATATGAGGACTATTATAGCAGGTACGAGTGTCAAAGTCTTAGAAATTGAGTTACATGTACGTACATGTTGTTCTCTAATGTTTTTCTGGAATCAAATCAGTGATATATGCAATGACCTTGATGACCATAAATACCCCGACACTTAAATAAAGTTGACGACGATGACGACGACGACAATGACAGCGACAATGATGAAGGATTTTCAGTCTCTGCTCCGATTTCCCTATTTTATATTAGGGATACATAATATAATGTCTGTTTTAGGCGTTGAGTGTATAAACAAGATACATGTAAACTACTTGTATCAGGCACACTAAGGTCTGAGTTTGTGACGTTTAAGATGTATAGAATTAAAGCGTCTAGTTTGTCTTGACAAAATTCTTGGCTTGTTCCTGACTTAATAGTGACAGATACATGGTATAGTCGAAACAGATACATATTATTATGCAAACAGATGCCTAATCCTTCTGATGCCTGTGTTTATACATGCAGATGTATTATACATTACAAGCAAGTGCAAGATGCNATAAGAATGTACTGCGGATTGTGCACACTGTATATCACGTCTTTCCTGCTGTCTTTGACATGTGTCTGTTTAAATCCAAACTAGTGATGCGGATCCTACAAGATACGAGGACTATTATAGCAGGTACGAGTGTCAAAGTTTTAGAAATTGAGTTACATGTACATGTACAGTGTGGGGCCCAGTTCTCGGCCACGTTTTGTTTAGCGTTTATTTTTCGTGCTAGGAATGAATCTGAATAAAAAGCAATTGTTTCCAAAGGTAGCTTGATTCCTTGTCTTCCGTTCTGCCGAGTTTTTTTTTCGTCCTGCCGAGTTTTTCTGTGAGCACGTCGAGGTGACGCGAAGGTAGGCGAATTTGGTTTCCCCGAAAACGTGTTTGTTTACGGCTACTGGAATTACGTGGTTTAATTCAAGTTTATATTTTGTCCGTCTAGAAAGCCCAAATGAGCCGATTCTTGGCATAAAGAATGTAGAGTGATAAAGCTATCTGTTAAATATAAACTTTTCCTGGCCTGTTTGATTCTTTGACCTAAATTCACTCCTCAATATTTCCTTAGTACTTTTGCGTATTTGCCTATTCTCGGCCACCATAATTGTCTTCAACACTAAAAGCGCTCATAGTTTTGTGTGGAGTATTCGTGTCAAGTCAGTTGTAAAAATAAAGCTGTAATGGGGTGGCATACTGAAAACTATGAGCTCTGACTTAACCCCATTTTAAATACCCAACTCTTTTTTAGCCTCGCTTGACTGCACTTACGAGAAAAGCTAGGTGTGCAAAAAACTTCCTTTTCTAACATGAAACAAAGCTCTTTGAGGATAATTTGTGATCGAAATATCAAAACACAAGCCTTATAAGTGATTTAACAACAAAAATGGTAATAAAGCGTTGTTTATTCTGAGGAATTGCGTGCACTCTTTTGTAGCCAAGAACTGGGCCCGCTGGCCGATAACTGGACCCACGAATGAAGCCTGCATTTTCGTTATTACTCGGGAGAAAACAGCGTTGAGCAGTCGATAGCTCTACATGAGTAAACTGAATGCTGAAGCTAGTTATGCGTGAAATTTTAAGTCCTTACGGCTATTCCAAGGTAAGAAATACACGTTTACATTTTTTGTGGCTGAGAACTGGGCCCCATACTGTACATACACTTTGTTCTCTAATGTTTTCCTGTAATTATATCAGTGATATATGCAATGACATTCATGACCATAAATACCCCGACACTTAAATAAAGTTGATGATGATGATGATGATTGGCAAAGTGGGATTCAAGTTATTATCAAGTGAATACTCCCCGCTTTTAAAGCTGGTTTTTGTTTGGAGCCCTTTACCCCTCAAAGGATTTTCAGTCACCCCCTCTCCCCCCTCCGATTTCCCTTTTTTATATTAGGGATACATAATATAATGTCTGTTTTAGGCATTGAGTGTATAAACAAGATACATGTAAACTACTTGTATCAGGCACAGTAAGGTCTCAGTTTGTGACATTCAAGATGTATAGAATTAAAGCGTCTAGTTTGTCTTTGCAAAATTCTTAGCTTGTACCTGACTTTATGGTGAAAGATATATGGTATAGTTGAAACAGATACATATTATTATGCAAACAGATGGATAATCCTTTTGATGCCTGTGTTTATACATGCAGATGTATTATACATTACAAGCAAGTGCAAGATGCGCTATATAAAAGCAGATTTTTCATCTTGATGTGTAATCTGTCTTTTGCCCATCTATATACTGAGACGTTGCCATCAGCAGCACACTAAAATATCATGCCCAAGTTTGTCTAGATGGATTAAGCATCTTTGGGGCATAAAAATGACGAATTTTATTTTATGACTTCACTAATTATTTTGAGGAAGATCAGGTCCTTTCTTTCTGCTCCCAAACTGCTGTAGAGATACAAAACACCTTCCTTTAAGCATTTCAATGAAGACCATATAGTTACAATCACAACCAATCTTTAAGAAACAGAAAACCTGAATGACTATTTTTCTTTTGAGTGATAGAAACACGAGTGGAAGTTGGGAGAACAAGAAGTGTTGTGGGAATACAAGCCGACAGGGCAGTGTCTCCACAACTTTTTCCACAGCATACATGTACAAAACTGTCATGTATAAGATGCAATCTGTTTTAATTTTTTTATACTTAATTGGATTTTTTTCTTACTTTCATTTTAGTCTGCAAGCGTTTGTAGAAAAATCCCTGGATATATACAAGGTAAGGAGGTTACAGTTCCTAATTTAGTGAGAGGTTACGAAATAATTTCATAAACTTTGTAAGTGGATAGACTAGAAATTAACATGGTTAAGAGTCATTTAAAGTTTATGTGTGGGGAATAGTATACTTGCAAAATGCAAGTGAAGTTTTTTTGAATAGGAACTAACCAGCCTCTTGTTGGGGAAACCTAACAAATTGCTGGGGAGTGACCTGCGATGGACTAGCATCCTCTCCAGGGGGAGTAGAAATACTCCTAGCCGCTGCACGCTACAGAAACCAGGCTAAGCTCCGGCAGTTATGAGCCATTTGGCTCCAAGGCTTCTCTTTAACCTGGCTCTTTGACTGTGGCACCATGACCCCCCATTGGAGGCCCAAGAAGAATGGCCTGCATTTTCTGGCTGGGGCTTTTCTACAGAAGCCCAAGTAAACACCAGCAATAAAAAAAAGGGGTATTGAAATTTTCCTGAACAACACAATACATAGATATACATGTAACGTTTTAATAATTTTGCTGTTCTAGCCTGAATTAGCCATGGTTTTGTATCCAATGTTTGTCCATATGTACCTTGAATTGGTCTACAAAGGCANAACACGAGTGGAAGTTGGGAGAACAAGAAGTGTTGTGGGAATACAAGCCAACAGGCCAGTGTTCCCACAGCTTTTTCCACAGCATACATGTACAAAAAATGTCATTTAGAAGATGCAATCTGTTTTAATTTCTTTTTATAGTTTATTGGATTTTTTTTTTACTTTCATTTTAGTCTGCAAGCGTTTGTAGAAAAATCCCTGGATATATACAAGGTGAGGAGGTTACAGTTCCTAATTTAGTGAGAGGTTATGAAATAATTTCATAAACTTTGTAAGTGGATAGACTAGAAATTAACATGGTTAAGAATCATTTAAAGTTTATGTGTGGGGAATAGTAAACTTGCAAAATGCAAGTGAACTTTTTTTGAATAGGAACTAACCAGGCTCTTGTTGGGGAAACCTAACAAATTGCGGGGGAGTGACCTGCGATGGACTAGCATCCCATCCAGGGGGGAGTAGAAATACTCCTAGCTGCTTCATGCTACAGAAACCAGGCTAAGCTCTGGCAGTTATAAGCCATTTGGCTCCAAGGCTTCACTTTAACCAGGCTCTTTGACTGTGGCACTACGACCCACCATTGGAGGCCCAAGAAGAATGACCTGCATTTTCTAACTGGGGCTTTTCTACAGAAGCCCAGGTAAACACCAGCAATAAAAAAAGGGTATTGAAATTTTCTTGAACAACACAATTATACACAGACATACATGTAATGTTTTAATAATTTTGTTGTTTTAGCCTGAATTAGCCATGGTTTTGTATCCAATGTTTGTCCATATGTACCTTGAATTGGTCTACAAAGGCAGTGAAAAAGAAGGTATGTGTTCATGTTGTTACAGTAACTGCTTAATTTTATTTTCAAACTAACAAGTTGAACTCTTCTTCTCAAATGTCCTGAGCTTAAATCTGTTGTTAAAAATGCTTTGTAGCACAATCTTTCTTTGCCTGTTTCCGTGGAAGTCAAGAAGATTACCATGAAGAGGATCTTGGAAAGTTGGCTGCAATAACTCGACGTGAACACATGAACAGTAATGAACTCATGGGAACCTTAAGGTACCACATAATGTGACAGTCAAGAAGACCAGCTAGTGTAGTTACAGTTGGTCGCTTCTAACCCTGTTCAAACACATTGTGAAAAACACAATCAACAACACACATGNGCCAGCCAAATTCACTTGCTCTCTGCTTCTTTAGTCACAAGTCAAAATATTGCAGAAAATTACCATTTTACATTTACAGTAAGATTATTGAAAGCCTCATTGGATATTAAGACCTTTTGAAACACCACTCTTGTCCCAAAGGCTGCAAGTTGTAGGTCATACTGCTAACAACTCATGTACCATGAGTAGAAATAACCACATCCATTTTGTTTGTTTGTTTGTTTTTTCAGGATCAGCAACAGGAATTACTGCTTACTTTAATTCAGCAACATCTTCATTTTGATGGTGGGTCATTCAATCCAAACTATTTGTATTCCATGCTGACGTCTTGCAAACTGAAACACGAATGCGATGAACTAGTACAGAATTTTTGCTATCAATATTCCAAATTGCTCCTATTACTGCCCAAGTGTAGACAGGTGAAAAATCATTCGCTTTTACAGCCTATGCTTCACTCAAGACAAAGTTAAAATGATACAGACAACCTCGCTGTTGCAGTAAAGGTTTAACAAAAACAAGGTGCATATGTACCTATTAATTTGGTTAGGTGAAGAGAAAATGTGTGCTCTAGGGACCACTCCCACTGTCTGGTAGATCCATCATTTTTTTCTTTTTTTGGCAGCAACTCTCTTTTTGATCCTAGAGTCAAACTAAAGAGATCTGTGTCCACTTTTAGTTTTTGAAGGAAGACCAAGAAACAAGCAAACAATAGAAGCCACAGCTGGAGCAGTGACTGGGGAGGCAACATTTGAAGGTAAACTGGGCAAAAGAAAATCTAATCCATGAGTATTTTTCATTTTCACGCTCATTATGGTGAATGCCTTTTGTCTTCACACCAGCCAACAAAAGCAAGGTATATTATGGGATTCCACCAGAGCCTGACCTCGGAGTTGTGATAGAAGAAGAAAATGAGGATGATGATGATAAGGACAAACCAAAGGTATGTACATGAAGTAGTAAACCTACCAATGATCACTTCATGAAAAGTGTGAGCAGTCTTTACCCTGAAGCCAATATCTCCTAGT